GGTCCAGGGTCATTTTCTGGGTATCGCTGACGTGGCTGCCTACGTGGCACATATGTGGCATGAACTCGGCGTCGTGGATCTTGGCGCCAATTGCTACGGCGCCGAGCTATAGAAATTGACAAATTTGAACTTTTACCATGACTTGGATATTGAGAAATGTGGCTAACTCTATAGTTTTTACGGTGATTTGCTGTTTGATCACTTAAAACAATCTAAAATTACTTAAGACAAAAAATGATCAGGGGTTTACTTTCATGAACTAGCCTAAAAATGCTTCTAAGTGTTGGATCAATAGTTAACCCCTTTTTTCATGATGCTGTTTTGACCAGGGTAAAACTATAGTTTCTTTTCTAATATGAAGTTTGACATTTAATAGAAGTTGTAGTTTGAGTTAGGTATAACAAACTTTGTTTTTGGACCTAAACCTAAATCAATCTTTAACATGGCCAAATAGTGACCACAAGTTTGAATATAGTGTTGTTTGGGCCCATCCAAATCTTTCTAATCCCCTGATCGCCGACGGTGAATTGACATGTTTACGATATTTTATCTTCTAAATTTGTATAACAATTTAGTTTGATACCTTACTACGATTTTGAATTCTCTCCGAGGAGATGACAACAAAACAAGTATCGTCAAGTTTGGACTTAGCCATAGTTCGCTCGAACTACTTCAGCAATATTTTTCAGCGAATGAACAACGTTTCCTCTCACAACAAATCAACGTATGCATCGCATAAGCCAAATTTTAGCATAAGCGAATAGGGCCGGTAAAAAACCAGACTTAGCCACGGTCATAAATTCTAGACTTAGCCATATTTCCACGTGCTTACAGGTCATGACGTGCTTACAAGTGAGGTATGTTGCGTCCATGCTTGCATGCATATGCACGTACGGTTTGTTGCATGCACGTAGTATGTACTACTACTCCGGTTAGCAATGCAAGAGACGGATGGAGCCGAGCCCTACATCGCCCGGCCATGCTGTAGGAGCCGAGACCTGCACTGTGCCGCCTGGACATGCTTGACATTAAATCGTAAATTTTTTATCTTAAGTATTTCTAGATTGTTTTAGGTGATCAAACAGCAAGTCACTGTAAAACTCTAGAGTTAGCCACATTTCTCAATATCTAAGTCGTGAAATTTTTTTTTGTCAATTTTCATAGCTCGGCGCCATGGTAATTAGTGCCGAGCTTGGCGCCAAAATCTACGGCGCCGAGCTCATATCACATCCGCGCCACGTAGGTAGCCACGTCAGCGATACCCAGAAAATGACCCTGGACCTCGACGCCAAAGCAATTGGCGCCGAGACGTGTAAGCTCGGCGCCAATTGTCACGGTGCCGAGGTCAGAATGTATTTTTTTAAAAGGATACCACCAGGGCATATTTGTGAAAATCTTTTAAAAAAAAGGTTCAAAAAGCAAAAAAATTCGGTCCAGATGACGCGGCTCCAGTTCAATACCGACTCCGACTTAATGATGTGGTGACAGATTCCAAAAAAAAAAAGAGAGAGAGAGAGACGGCTTTAGAGAAGTTGCTGCAGACTGTTTACATATTCAAGTTTGCATGGAGTTGCTCTAACTTGAGAATAATATTCCTAGTTAGGGAGAAAAATACCTTTGTACGTCCAGGATAACAATATTCCAATCTAAGAATATATTCTAGATTCCTGATAGGAATATTCTAGATTTAGGAGAATAATGTTGCAGGTAGAGTATGATATTTCAGGTCGAGAACAATATTCTAGTCAAGAGTTAAAATTAATTAGAATGAAATAAATAAAAAGGAAAAAGGAAAAGGAAAAATAAGAAAAATAAAAATAGTATATGACACATTTATGAGAAAAACATTTCTGTCCATGCTAGTCTAGAGTAAAAAAAGTTATTAATACATAAAAAATATAAAGAAAGGAAAAAATCAATGTATCGTGGAAATAAAAAAATAAAAGGAAAGGAAAAATAAATAAATTATAGTGATAGGTCTAAAGCGTGTATCCGAGATGGGTCTATGTAACCGTGATAGGGTAACAATAGCTCACATGGGCTGCAAGAATGGGAAGGAATTGAAAACTAATGTTCGGCTCTGTTTGGCTGAGCTGGATTAAAGCCGGCTGATCGTTTTTTGCTGATTTGTTGTGAGAGAAAAATATTATATCAACTGGAACGTGAACAGCCAGCCGGCTGCAGCCAGCCGAACGAAGCGCATCGCGTGGTGCAACAACAAAGCCGCGCTACGTGAAAATCAGATTCCCTGTTTATTCTCACGGTGAGTGAGTCTTTGTGCGGTGAAAAGAACCATCGATACCACGAGTCTTTGGCCGGATGTTTTCAATTCTCAAGGTGAGGCGGCCGGGAATTTGAGTTTAATCAATTCCAAACAACATCTGAGTAGGTTGTGGGAAGGGAGTTGGTCAGGGATGGAAACGGACCAGATTCGCATACGGTCATGGATATTTTTTTAATGCGAATACAAAATGAATGTCTCGAATTTAAATTGCTTTTCGAATATTTACTCAATTCAACTCAAAATGCATATTGTTAAATTCAACATACATGAATAGAATTTAATTACTAAGTTCGTCAATAACCAAAGTGAAATAAAATCAAGTGCACTTAATCTCCATTGTTGAAGTGAATCAAATTATAATGGATAATATTTATTGAAATGGGAGGTCAAGTGAAGAAATTCAAATAAGAATGTTAGGCAACAAGTAGCCATTTTGGTTGAACAATGTTTTTGAAGTTACAAAATGACATAAGTAGAGATAAAAGTATGTGGATATATAACATAGACAAAGATATCTCATAAAAAATACTATAGTTATAAAAATATTTAATAATTAAAGTTAGTCAATTAATATTTATATAATATCTAACATGAAATTGTAAATTATATAAAATAATTTGTATTAGTAAATAAATAAAGTATTAAAATAATTTACAACAACAAATATCCTATGTTTAAACTACAGTAAAAAATACCTAAAATTAATTTAATATTTCTATATCATTAATAATACTAAATTGATGTTAAGATTTATTATGGATATACTATACATAGTTTCAATGCACCATTAGTAATATAAAATTAAATAATATGTCACCAATTGTAGAAAGAAAAAATTTAAATAGATTTATTATACTTAGTGTCAGATATTTTTTTTTAGAATACAGATTTAGAATGATAATAAAAATTGAATCGGTTACATCCGTTTAGTATAAAAAGGAAACGTCGGACCTCAACTCATGTCTGAAAGTGGAAGCCGAGGTCAACGCGTGTGGAGACCCCGCGAAATACACCGCCGCAGCGACCCATGCATAAGAGGAAGGCAGTACAGGAGGTACTAGTTGCAAGGTTTCTTTGTAGACTGCTGTTAGCCTATATGTATAATAGTTAACTATTCACTATTAATACACGATATATCTATCTTTCACATAATTTTTTTTGGTTTTTTGCCTAAGTTAGCTGTAAGTTTATGACTCGTTTCTTCTCTCTTTCCTCTTCTCTCTTCTGCATCTCAGCATTTAGCTAGTTTACAGCTTATTATTCACCGGTCTGTTCTAAAACACTACTTCAGTAGTACTTTTCAGCGAACAGCTTAACCATCAGCATAAGTCAAAGTTTCAGGACGATACTTGCTCAAAAGCTTTGTTCAAGGTTCATGCTCTAGCTTCTCGCAGACTCCATTGGAGATTGGACCACCGACCACATAATGATTAGTACCAATCAACGTGATCTCCATGGAGAAAAAAGGATAATCAGAGCACATGCAACGCAAGGACGGTGAACAGTTCGAACTCTCATCCAGGTGATCTAGGTCCATGCCTGACTCAAAGCTTCTGCAGTCTGTTCGGGAGGCCATATCGTATCGTGGATTATTTACTGTTGGCTGGTTTGGTGTGAAAAAAAAACACTGTTCCTGACTGGAAATTTACGATCGTTTACGAGCAAGCGAACAGGCTGCTGTATGTCACAGCCATAGGCTCATAGCCGACCAGACCAGCACGACGACAAAAGGTCGCCGCTTGTAAACACCTTCCTACTGTGCACCGAATTCTCTGGCAAGCTGCACAGAATTCCCCTTTCCCATTCTCAAATTACAGACTTTTTAGGATTGCTCCACCAACACGGCTCTGTAGACTCTATCATAGAGCATCTGCATAATAGACTAGAGTTTGTAGAGCACCTATGAAGGTGCTTTCTTGACTCTATTTTTTCTCTTACACTACTACAACACGGGGATATAGTAACACCAACTTGTGTTACTATAGGTTGAAAAAAGTGTTACTAGCTCTCTTAGTAACATATTTTTTTTATGTGTTCCAATTAACCATGTTACTATAGACTGATCTATTGTAACACGGAATATGTGTTCTTTTATATATAGAAAAGTGTTACTACGTTGTAACACATTTATATATCTATTAGAACATTTGTCTAGTGTTACAGTGATTCTCTATTGTAACACTTTTTCTAGCTATAGTAACACCTCCATAATGTGATGGAGTACATAGTTTGTAACACATATCTATTGTAACATTGTCTAGTGTTACAATGATTTTCTTTTGTAACAATTTTTTAGTGTTGTAGTAACACTTCCACATTGTAGTAGAGTATATAGTGTGGAATGGAGTAACACATGGTTTACAACACATGTTTTACCTATTGTAACACATTCAACTTTTTAAATAAAATATTTATATTACCCTTACATGTGGACTACACATTGCAGAATCACACAAATATGACACATTATAGAATCTCATGAGCCGCAAATTTCAATAACCATAGCAAGATCCACAAATTATTTGAAGATTTCAACGTAATACTTGTTCAAATCAAGTGACAGTATAGGTACATAACGATGTGGCTCTAGCTTCATAGCAACTACATATAGTATTGAAGAGTACAAGCCCATACTACTAGAAATGAAAGTGTGATATCTAGTGTTCTTAAATTCCATTGCTTCTTCATCCATTTTTGCACAATTCAATATAAGAATTCAGCCATTAATCATTTCAACCTGCAAAGAGAAAGTTATAACATTAAATATTATTCTATCTATGTTAGTTGATGTAAACTTAAAAGCTAGTACGAACATACAAATGTCAAGTCCGAACAATTGTTACCGCCTTTGGTAAGGGCATCACCCCAATGTTATTGTACCCAGGATGATTGATATCCACTTTGTAGAATTGATTTTGTCTCAACTCCATCAAAACATGTTTTTGGATTAGTGCTCAAAAGACCTTATTTGGATATTTTGTAGTCATGAGTACCACTGTGGACCGAACCTATATTAGTTTGACATATCACTTAGCGACCAACAAACATCATTTGTTTATCAAGATAATGTAGTTAAGATAAGTGATTTTGTTCACCTGCCTTCATTGGAGGAGGTTGCTCATGTTTCGGACTCTTGTGGCATGTAGCCTTGTCATGAGCTACCTCTTATTGTGCAATGGTAGTCTCTCCAAGCACTCCATGATGATCCTTACATATGAAACAATATAAAACAAACATTTTACTATAATAAATATGAAAATATGGTTCTTATATTTTGTACCTTTATTATTCTACCTCTATAGAATTCCTTGGGCAAGAATTAAATTGAAAGGAAGAGAATGGTAATTGCAATTATACAGTGTTATAATGTTATTCATCTTTAATAAATTAACATTATAAGTCTAATATATCATATTCAATGGTTCAATGAAACGATGTACCGCTATTTGTCTAGAATCATTAGCAGAGCATTATGGGGACATTGTTTCTACTTCTAGAATTAGTAATTCCTTGTCATTAGTGTCACCTTAGCATTAGTTCCAATACAAATTCTTGTAAATCATAATCACTAGGCAAAAATATTGACATATAAACAAACTAAGAGTATATTATTCTTGAATACAACAAACCAGTTGATAACCTTTTTATTAGAAAAATAGATCATCATCGTCACTATATGTAGACTCACATGGTTTTGTTCTAGTAAAGAGGAGAAATGAAAATAGCATGAATTATTATAAAAAAAGCCTTTGTAAATAAAGAAGTATTTCACGAACAAGAGATTTTACCAATTGATCATTCTGTTTAAGGAATCCATCTTTCTGATTTGGTGCAACACATTGAACTCTCTAAAAAATCTAAACAATATTAAAGCCAATAGGGACTAAATTATGTGAGAATATGCTAAATAAAGCAAATACCTTTTTTATAAGCATTGCTTGCTTCTTTGAATTACCATGACCACTTCCGCTACACCAATGTCCTAGAAAAGATATAGAGTAACATTTCAATATAGAGTTACAACAAAAAAGAAATACTACTACATCAAACCCGACACTTAATAGTTCCTAGATCTCTACCAGATGACCATTATTAGGATTCTAATATTTATATATTTTTTCGTGATTCCCTAGTTCGGGATAGATGGTCGTCAATTAAATGTTAAGAAGTGTAAAACTAAATTAATTCATATAAAGCACATTGCATCCAAAGTAATCGACACTACTTCCATGGTGTTGCTTGCTAAAAATCTATTTCACTAATTGACAAGTTGGTCATGAGAATGGAAACTTCATAAAATGGCACTTGAGTGACAGAAAAACATATTCACATAACTTTGAATAAATGAACATATGAATAGAAATTGAACATATATGCCCAATATACATAGAGCAAACTATTGTTGTTTTGTTTGGTCATTTAGTGGGATTGTTTTAGTCATCAATCACATTGCCCTACCTGATTCTCGATTTCGAATGAAGATGTTAGTTGACTGATTACAAGGAAAAATATGAGAGCAATGGCATTGCTACTTAATAAGAAGCATCACAATTTCATTGGTCTAATCGGGTTTAAAAAGATGTGGTTGCAGTTATACAGTAGTTTCACGGATGATGAGCACCACATTGCAATTCGAGACAGTTATATACAGTAGTTTGACAGATGATCACCACATTGCAATTCAGACAGTTGTATAGAAAGTGCATACTAGTTAATTTACAGAGAAGAAAAACATTTGAAGTAATAACTCTTGAATTCCATGAAAACAAAGATACCAAACAACAGAAAAAGGAGCACACTGCAGTTTGTACCTTTCATAGCTATTGAGTATGCCATAGTGTTGCACTTCTGCATGCAAGAAATATGACAATAATTCAGTCAAAACATAATTTCACACTTCAGAAATTGATGGTCACTTGAAGTTGAATCATCCATTCATCCCCCAAATCCAACAAATTGAATGGCAATAAGCACAGATTAAGCAATTCACAAATAATCTTACTAATAAGAGATCTAGTTAAACATGTAAAAATAATTATCAAGCTCACTATATCAAAAGCATGCAAGATGAAAATCTGCATTAATCAAGGTGAAAAGTACTTAGCTATTGTGCTGCCACACTGCACGACCTTTTGCCAACCTGAAAGCACAGCCATGAACTGGATATACTACTGCTGAACTGCTCATTGACCACAAGCAAGCCACAAGGAATAAGTTAAAATAATTAAGTACACAAAGAAGGCCGTGATTACTTCCCTGCTGCAAAATGTCTCACTCCAACATGTCAAGCACCAAATCAAAAGGCAAATGTTAGCTTGATGCTGCTACAATAGCATGACAATGGAGTAGTTGAAAACATACTGTACTCATAACTTATAGCTACTTTAACAAATTTTCAGATCAGTACAACAGTACCTTATCGATACCTGAACATATAGTAGCACATGAATACATAATAGATACAAAACAATTGACAAGTGATGTCTAATTATCATTGGTCATCACAACATGAGACTACAGACCAAAGAGGCACTGTCACTTAGTTCATAAGTAAAAACACTTGTTCTCACAGGTAAATGATATCAAGACACCTAGTTCTCAATTCTGAATTCTCACAGCAACAACGAAGACAATTAAACTCAAAACTCATAGGCAACATAATACATGAAGATTAGCCAGCCATGCAAATTTTAGCAGCCCAGCATGTAGTTGTGAATGACTCCATACTTGCACCGAATATCACTAGAATTCCTCTTTAGGTTCATGGGTTTGCTAGTGGAAACAAAAGGATTCGATGCGGCAGATGACATCCTGCAATTGCAAATTTTCAGAAAGTGCTTACAAATCAGAATTTGTATACAAATCACGAACTAAAATTACATGAAAAACATTTTTTATACAATTTCCATGCGAACGTTGGGATAGAAATTCACAAATCACATCTACTCTATGTATGCGAGCTGGTATTTTGAGATTGACGATGCTAGTGTAGACATATATATTTCTATTTCTAGTGAGCATTTGCTGTTTTTGGACAAACGAGCTGTTGTTTTCAAGTACAGGATAGGCAACAATTTACATTAGCAAAGTTACTGAGCACAACACCGAACATGGACTAAGTAGTAATACACAGGTAGTGCACACAGAACATTAAAGAAACAACGGAATTTACAATACCACCTAAATCATAGCAGTTGCACTGCGCTTTTGTAACAGCGGAGGGATTTGGGGGAAGTGAGTTAGAGAACTTATCTGCTAGTTTTGGATCGGTAATCCGGGTGAAGGACACCTAGAAGGACAGCACAGGAGACGGTGGCGGGGCAGAGGATCTGGAGCTGTTTTGATAGCGCCAGGAGATTAATCTAAAAACCAAAAAGTTCCTTAGAAGCCACATGGACCCAATTTTTCCTGCACGTATTTTTTTCCTGAAACATGCAAACCAGAAGATAGCAGTATATGAACAGAGGAGCAACTGCATTCTATAGTGCTAATCCTAACCTATTCATCCTAGGGTCTGTAGATGAACTGAGAAGGAACGCTATCAGCACACCTGAGCACCTTCTCTAGGTCGAACTGCAACAGGTGGTCCTCCATCTGATGCCCCCCCACTGAAGACCGCCACACCATCGGCGCCGGCCCTGGGGAGGTAGAGTAGGAACCTGAGTACCTGATGTCAAAGACTAATGGTATGCAGATGCAGCAGCGCGGATCTGAAAAACCATAGGACCTTGTTGTAGTTCGCCGTGACACCGTCCACCATCCGCGAGCTCGAGAACGATTCCATCGTCCACCTACTCTGATCCATGGCTGCCCCAATGGGAGGGAGACCGAACCCACGGTCATGGCCGGATCTGGCGTGGACCGGGTCCGCTCGTCGACGACGAGAGGTGTGGAGGATTAGGGGTGAGCGGCACGTGACGTGTCGTACTGTTGGAGGAAGGCAGGGAGGAGTTGGATCCGCAGGATTAGGGAGGCTGCCCCGGCGTGGATTCGGCAGGGTCTCTGGAGGAGCTTGTGTCGGCGGTGTCGGCACGGCGGGCACACGGCGGACGGCCATTGGGGAGGGGCTCTGGACGGGAACGTGGATGCCAGAGGTAGACCGTGGCCGTGGGGAGGTCTCGGGCTCTCGAGGGTTGGGGTGGGGGAGAGGGCAGCGTTTTTTTTCCGACTGAGAGGGCGGCGGTTCAGGAGAGGGTGGCGGCGTGGGTGTGGAGATTGGAGAGAGAGAAGGCTACGTGGAGGTCATTTTAAATTTTCGCTGCAACCAGGGGCGAGAGTTACCCGCCAGTTCAACTTTTAAATGATTTTTTTCGCAGACATATAATCAAACTATAAAAAAGTGTATTATTATTTAGAATAATACATAGGTAAACATACATTAGAGTTTTTAGGTAAATGTTTGGTACATATCATCTACAGACCAAAATCTATGACAAAAAAATCAATGTGACTTATAATTTAAAATGGATGGAGTATTTGTTTACCATATAATTAGAAGAATAAACAAAGATGTGGTAAGATCAATTCTTGATAATAAGAATGTATTTTTGGTTTTTGAGCATGCATATGGAATTAATAACTAGCCAACTATAGGTAATTGTCTCTAGTTTTTCTCGGGATGTTGAAGATATCTGAATGTCTTGATATGTAGTAATGTTTATCTACACCACATGCAATTTTAGGAAGTACTCTCGGTAAAAGGCTTGAAATATTTTAAACCCTAAGGAAGGAAAGAGTTATGACTAAATTGTTCTTAGACAAGCATAACAAATTGTGAGATCGTTAGATAATCATAAACCTACCGATATTGAAAGAGTCATGACCAGTAAAAGTAAAACTCGAGAATGATGAAGTCACCACATGTGCATCGTCGTCGACGGAACATTGCGACCCATTGACAAAGTCACGACAACTTTTACAAAACTCACAAACTAACAACTAAACCAAATAGCCCCGTGAGACAATTGAAACTACCAAGTACAATAAACAAGAATTAAGAATCTGGGTCCAATCACTCTCCCGTGTGTGGTGGGTCCAACATCACAAACAATTGTGTTTTTTTTCAAGTGCCACACGTCATCCATCCATGAGGGGTCCAATGAACACGAACTTTATACCAAAGTTGTAGAAAAGTAGCTCAAACTTTTGACTTGAGATCATTTTGATGCCTAAATAGCCATCACAAGATTTTATGGAGTTCATACCAAAGGAATCCATATGTTATATAGTCACAAGTGAGTGTGTAGTACTAGAGAGTGATTCCTCCGATGGTGAAACAATCAAAACAAAATGTTCTAGATCTCGATAAGTTATGAATTTTTGTAATTCACAATTTTGTTTGAAGTCGCTTTGATAATCAAATATTTGACTCACAAGATTTTATAGAGTTCATACCAAAGGAACTCCTATGCTCTATAGTCACAAGTGTGTAAATGAGATATAGTTAATGATCTCGGATGGAGGGCGACCAAAGCAAAAGTTGTGGATCTAAAAAACATATGCATATTTATAGTTGACAACTTTTGCATTTGAAATCATCTATCCAACGAAAATTACGTTTGAATTTTCATATTTAAAATTTGATTTTTTCAAATGACCTCGGATGGAGAAATGACCAAAACAAAGCTTGTAGATGTCGAAAAGTTATGCACCTTTTTAGTTCACAACTTTTTCATTTGAAATTATCTATCCAAGGAAAACTACACCCGAATTTCCTCACATTTGAAATTCAAATTCTTCAAACGACTTCGGATGGATAAATGATCAAAACCAAAGTTGTAGATCTCGAAAAGTTATAAACTTTGTAGTTGACAAATTTTTCATTTGATTTCGTTTAGGATTGCAAATGCTCATTTAAAACCAAATAAATATAAAATGGGGAGGACGAATATCTAAAATGGATACAATTTTCTTATAGATGGAGTGGTTAGGAGATGAATATGCAAACCTTGAGGTTATGGGTTCAAACACTAGTGGCCACAAAATATGCATTTTTTTGCGGCACGCCTAAGCCTCGCTAGAAATCGATTCGATTCTTTTGAAACTCCTACATAACAAAAATATATATAGGCTATTACATATAAAAAAACTTTGGCACTTGTAACTATTTTTAGGATTTGGCCTTCTCTATCCAATCGAAAATAAAAAATATAATCAAATCATTCACCTTGATGGCATACCACGCAAATGCAAAGTGATGTGATAAACACAAAAAAAACATCTCCCACTATATAAGTGAACAAAATAGTAAAGAGTGATTTTATACAACACTAGAAAAAATCATTCAATTTGATTAGTTTAGCCAAAAAAAAAATGAATGTCACGAATAGATAGCCAATATTCAACCAGAGCTGATATGTTTGTCTGCCATGGTAAATTTTAAGTAAAAAATCAAATGTTTGCAAACTTCACAATCTAATTATCTTGGTCACCTAACTATTTTTTACTTTTAATAATATATAGACATATCATATGAGCTTATAAATAGAAAATTTGGCACTTGTAGCTGTTTTTGGACTCAGCGGCAAAATAGGCGCCAACAAATCCGAACTTTTGGTGCTTGGCGGCCAAACTCGCGCCACGGCCCCCCTTTTTTTTGTGCTCGTACCACTCCCGGTACACAATCTATCCCAGATCTGCCTGTCTCCTATCAAAAAAAAAAAAGACCTGCCAGCTGTCACCATTCACTCTCCTCTTCCATCTCTCTCCCGCAATCTCTCGTTCTTTCCCGAAAGAAGAAGCTGGCGGCGGTCCTCCTCCGAGCGCACCCCTACGGCCCGGCGGTGGTTCTCCTCCAAGCGCACCCCCACGGACCGGCCGAGCACCACCTCTCCGACCCGGCGGCGCGGCTCTCCATCCCCGACCAGGCGCTGCGCTCTTCGTCCCCGACCCGGCCATCTCGCTCCTCTCCGTGTTCTCCACCGATGGACACAGACCCGGCACCGGCGGAGAGCACAGGGTGGCGCGGCTCGGCAGAGGAGTAAAAGTACGCGGGGGCAACCAGCACAGCCGCAAGATGCCGATCTCCTCGCCACTGCCGCCTCCGGCTTCCTCGCCACTGTCACCGTGCCGCTGCCGATTTCCTCCCCACCACCGCCGACTTCCATGGTAAGTAATTGATTCAGTGTGTACAGATGCCTGCAAGTACTCTGTGAAATGAATTCGTAGTTGATTTAGTCTGTGAAATGAATTCGATTGGTAGAGATGCCTGCAAGTAGCCCCAAATCTTGTTCATGGTTCATCTTGGCAGAGCTTCAGGTTTTCAGCATTTGATTTAGTCTGTGAAATTGCAATTGTTTTATAGTGCTATTCTTGCCTGTGTGCAGATTTCTGGGCATGATTTTGTTTCTGGCCATGATGGAGTCACATGAGCTTTTTTATCTGTATCTAATATGTGATATCTGTGATCTGAACATACACTTTATATGTATTTGGAGACACCTAAACAAAGCAATGAATAAATTTTATATTGTATATGTTTTTGCTCTATTTTTCCATGAACTCGAGGCCAGGATGCTAAATGTGGAAGCATAAAAGGAAAAATTAAGTAGCATCTGAAGGGCGGGCCTGGTGCAAGCGGTAGAGTCTTACTTTGTGACCGGAAGGTCCCGGTTCGAGTCATGGTCTCCTCGCATTTGCACAGGCGAGGGTAAGGCTTGCCATCGACACCTTCCCAGGACCGCATTGCAGGCGGGAGCTCTCTCCTGACCGGGTACGCCTCAAGACAAGATTGTGTTTTTATTAGATGATTCTGAAAATAGATTCCATAGTATCAAGGAGGTATTCATGTGAATCTTGGACAGCTGAGCTCCACAGTGCGTTGCTGCACATTTATCTCTGAACAAATCATAAACCTAATTTTGTGCGAAAGATAAGACAGGCTGAAATACATGGATAAAGACATTTGAATAGCTATAAGAAAACTGGGTCATAAAACCTATCTTAGGGACTACCTAAATATTAGCTGTCATTATTCTTTCTGTGCAGAACTACATGAGGTATGCCTGCTACAATCTGCATCCTAAAGCTCAATGTGGAACACAATGACGGAAGTAAATATGCACTATCCTTATATGCAGAAGCCTCCGATGGAGCCATACGGTATAAGGATCAATACATATTTAGAGCTTGTTATGAACTTATGATATGATTCACACCTCCAATTCATAGATACTGTTTGCTGAAAAACTGAACTTTCTCACAAGGTTCTAGTTTGTTTAACACAACAAATCCCAAACTTTTAGATTGTGGTTGTCATGATAGTATATGAATCAAATGTGATAACTTTCCTCTTTAAAAGCTGTCACAAAGTAATACTGATCCATGTGTTTATACTGTTTAATGTGGTAGCTGCCCTTAGCTTATTGGTTGCTCCTCAGTTCAATAGAAGCTATCCAGCTATAGTGTAGAAGCGAGTAAATGCTATGAGAATTGGTGTTTATTTCCTAGGAGTTACATTCATTTTAGAAGGATCTGTATGAATACTAAGATTATTCATGGCTGCTGCCATTGATATGCATGGGCCAAAATATTTTCTCTTTATACTGGTCATTGGTTGTAAAAGGTTTTGACAATCAGTATAAGCTTGGGTGCTTTGCTTTGTGCTTGTATTTCTACCAATTTGTTTCCTGCTGCATGCAGTGAGAGTTTGTACTGAAGACGAGGAGTTTGTCCAGAGGCAGCTTTTAGCACTAGTTGCCCCTAAGGTGTTTTTTCTACTTGGCGAGCTAAATGGTGCTCTGTTGTATGCACTTGGTGCTGGACCCCTGTTTGATGTTTCTGACGACTCTGATTACGCTCAAACAC